TTTGTGAGTAATGGCGCTACAGAAGAAGAAAACAAGTAAACACTAATGAAAATTTGTACCTAGACGTTGTATGATTATTAACATATTATAATAATTGTTGTTAAAGCTTTTTGGCAAACTGTTATTAGTATTTGTAAGCCAAATTTACATAAAGTCTATACAGAGCTTCCCCTTCTCCCCAAAAAAAACAAATTTGGCTTTAATTACGCCCATATAACTTTTGTTACAGTGGGAAAGTAAACTTCAATCAACTATTGTGTTGTGATATTAAATCCGTAGCCACAGGTCAAATTCTAAGAAAGAATAACGAATTTCCAAAAGATACATAATATTATATAGCGTCTAAGCACCTAGATACATAGTTAAATGTTTATAAAACTCATTCAGTTGACACCAAGTAGAAATTGTTATGATTTTTGCTTACAAAACGTATTTAGATTGAAGTCTTAATTTGGTGGTTATAATTTTAACTTTCAATTAGGCTACTGTCATTAAAAAGCAATTTAACCTAATTTAACTAGTTTTTTTTAAAAATGATTAAAATTTTGTAAGTGCAACAACTTTGCTATAATTATGACATACCTAATTACATTTTTTTTTTTAAAGGAGACATTCTGTCAAACTATAGCGATAACTCCGAACCCAGACATTGTCAACGATAAACGTTTGTCAATGTTTTTATACTTTTTACAAACATTTTTTTTAATTTCGAAGCTATCGCAAATGTGACCGGTGACAAATATATATATATATATAGACTCACCTGCACAACGATTCCTTCCTTGATCAAATTTGACGCCGGACCACCGGAGACGAACGGGTGTATAATAGCGCGTTGTTGTGTATTAATAAACAAAATTTAAATACAAAAATAGCGAATAAGTATATTTCGTTGGCCCAAACGACGTACGGCGTTAAGTAGTATATTAAGTAAGTATTATAATTATATTTTTTAATTTTTTTTTTTTTTTTCAAAAAGGAGAGCGGGTAAATATTATGACAAAGGCCGGTTTGCGCGACGGTTCCGTGACTATTGGCCGGGCACGCGTGTCCCGCGGGCCGTTATATGGCAGAGGTGATGCGCCAGCCGGACGAGCAGAGCTCCCTGGCCCCCTCCTCCCACTCCTTCAAGAGGGGACCTGACCGAGGTCATGGTAACCGGGCTATGACCACCTCTGTCCGTACCCCGAGCTCTGGATGACGTCATGTGTCTCGTGGGCGGTTTTTGCCTGATACTCTTCGACGCCAACAAAAAAAAAAAAAACGGTACCTATGCCTACAGGGTGTCTTACGAAATTGCTAATTTATTTATTTTTTGAGAGAAAAAAAATCATAGACAAATAACATAATTTTTTTTTTAGTTTAGAAAAAAATTGCCTTTTTTTTTAAGTTTAGTAACGATTAAATGTACTGTTACTAGGTGACAATTATATTTTTAAATGTTACGACGGAAAAGAAAATGCAACGGTGTGCGCACGAATTTTGAATACAATTATTTCGCTTTAATATTTTTCATAATCTTGCCGAAAAGCGCTTTAATGATCTTGAAATGATTAATAATCATATTTTCATAGGGGATTATGTAAAATTATTTATTTTTTAAAAATGTCACTTAAATATTGTACAAATATTATTTTTAATGTTTGACTTGTATTTTAAATATTATGATAATATTTTCAATATCTTTAAAATGTTTGCTCAATATCATTTTTTAAACGTTTAACTTCGGCTAAAATGTCATTTAAATATACTGACAACATTTTGAAAAAATCGTATTTGTATAGATGTAATATACTTTGCAGCCTTAATAACTCCAAAAGTCTTTATTCAATACTTGTTATCGGTCAGTCAGATTTTCAATAATAACGAATCTTAATTCTTAAGGGAAAAAACAGAATGAAAAACATCATTTTCCTAGGTAAATCTATTAAATAGATACAAATTCTCATAGAACACTCTGTATAAACACACACACACAATAATACAAATGTATACAAACACACAACATACCTAATACGACGATAATACACAATAACAGATGAGTCGTAGCGGTTGCGGTCGTTTTCCTTCGTGGGAAGTACGTGTACTTCTGTGTAAGTATGTATGTGGAAGGGAAGATGCGCGTTGGCAGATAACCGTTGTTTTTCCTGGGTATAACTCACGGTGCGCGTGCCATTTTTTTTTTACATGTATAAATTATGATAATACTATGATAGGACAATAATATAATAACAATATTGTTATTCATACTACCAATTGACCTCGCGTCTGGCTCTATAAATTATAATATAGAGTAGCTGCAGCTGTATATAATACATAGTAGTCTTTCCCACATGGCAACAATATATGTTTTCATTGAACAAGTACATCATACACCTTAGAAGATATTAGACTTTTTTCAAATAATTATTATTGTTACTTTTATAAATAATATCTCGAGGTCCTCGCGACAGCTATTTTTTTCCTTGTCCTGGGCCAATTTAGTTTTACATTCTTTGCTAGGTATACTATTTTTCTCCTGTCTTCTTCTAAATTTCCACTCAAATTTCTATCATCCCAAGAATAGTCTCTTTTTTTTCCGGAAAATTGAGTCCTCGATTTAATCATGTTGACTATAAAATATGACATAAATGTTAGTATTGAGTACTTATTTTTTATTTGTGTTTTATATCATCAAAGATTGTACACGATGAATTGACAGTGGACATTGTAGTAACGGTATAACTATTATAATATATTTGTATTATGCAAACTCTCGTGCCAAAATATAAAACCGATAGATGGTCTTTTCGGCGGTCTAATTCTACATAAGTCCTTGATGGTCGCCTCGCATGGTTCTGGGGGTTTTCCCTCGTATATAGGAAGTATGACGCAGTTCTGTCGGCCGGCCGCGATAATTAATGCATTATCTGCACTAGTCTGGAACTCGTAAACAACAGCCAACACTATTATTGCACTGCCGGTTCTACTTGAGCACCTTCCTAAGTTTAACATGTACTACTATCGTTAAAATAGTTCAATATACATAAAATAAGAATCTAATGTTGGCACCTCGTCGACTTTCAAAATTGCTCAAGGTCCTAAACTATAGCTCTTTGGGAGTAGAGGGTCTATGGACACATGAAGGATTAGGGATCAAACTCTAACATTGAATTATAATAATTATTCTATCAATTAACCACACTTGAAATTGTTATTGGCAATACATAATACGGCGCACATTGTTTAAGGCGGATTTCAAAACAGACGGACGCCCAATAGCTTAGAACCAAAAACAACAATTAATTATCCCAACCTTTTTTTTTTTATATTATTTTTTGCAAACAATTTGAATATTGTTTACGTCACTTTTTCTAGTAAAAGTATTAGACTGAAAACCCATCCTAAAAAAAACATATTATAATATTATGTACTTTTTTAAGCCATCGTGTTTTTTTCTTACTGTAAAACTGCAATATTTACATTTCATTATTTTTAATGTTTTTAAATTAATTTCATATAAATTGTTGATAATTATTTTTGATTGACAAAATGTTTCTTAGCAAAAGAAATATTTTTATTTAAATTTAAAAAAATGTGGTATCGGATTTCGCATTTTTTACATACCTATTATTTAGATAACTATTTGTCATTGTTATACAATATTTAAGACATTTTCGGTCACATATTTATTGTTTTCACAGTATATTTTAAGTATTTAGGTAATTAACTTCGCTGTCCTTTTTAATTATAAGTTAGTTTATTTTAAAATTAGGTCATGTTGTTGTAGGCATAGTGTAATTCATAACAATACTATGTACATATAAGATTATTTATATCGATTAATTAAAAGTAGTATAATATTACTGATGCCGTCATAGGAATACAATTGAAGATATACTCATAATATATTTTTTGTTGTGTGGCTAACGTTTGTCTAAGCTAAAATGTTTATTAAAAAAGTAATAAAAACTAATATGCAATATAACTTTGAACATTTATTGGACGAATACAACAATTGACAATTACATAAACAGTTAAGAGTAATTATTATCTCATAGAAACTAATTGTTGGAAAAAAACGAATTTAATCGTAATTTGTAGTTTCGATTTAATCAATTCCTCCGACTAAGTCCCAGAGTTTAATTCAATACAAACTACAAGACAATATATTATACAAAAACAAAAAAGGACAAAATTATTATTATATCAGAATTATTATTGACTGGGGGCAGGAATAATAATATAATATTATCGTAATAATTACACTAATATAATAAAAACATTATTTGCTTTTTAACAACGTGCAATTTACGCCGAACCCGTTTTTACAATGTAACTGACATTACACGAATCATTTAACTATTACAATATACATAAATAAATATCTATTTAATAAAATGAAGTACTAACAATATCATCAAGCGCGTTTAATAAGTCAACATAACCTAAACCGACTCGTTGGAAAGCGGCATTTGTTGGTTTACAAGCGAAACCCAAAATGATTGTACGGTTATCCGGTCGATCGCGCTACAAGTCTTGTAACTATCCATAAACAACAGCTTTAGTTCTTTGGCAATGTGTAAGTATAATTATTGTATTTGATTATTATTGAAATTTGATAAATATTTTAACTCGCAGCGTAGCATAATCAAAATTAAAAACTAAACGTTAGACCGGCTTATACCTACTTGCTTATATTATAATGTAGTAAAATGAATACAAAAATCACTGAAAATGAATTTTTATTTTACACTTGTAAGTTTGTGGGCGGATACGTTTGCGTGGGGTTAAATTCTTAAATAAAATATACTAAAGGAAAAAGCCCTGAAAAAAAAATAACGATAATCGTTCTATAGCGTAAGAGGTGTTAACTTGGAAACATTTCATTCATATTAGAACTATTAAATTAAATTAAACATTAATTTTGTATGAAATGTGTTTTAAAAAGTAATTCCAATACTTTAAAGACTTTTTTTGTAAACACAATTTTTGAAACATTAAATGTCATGTTAATATAGTATTATATCATATTCAAAAATACTGAAATCATATTTGAGGATATTTCGAAATTAGTTGAACATATTTTTTGTATGAGATGCAACTATTTTAGATAAATTGTGACAATTATCAAATTACTCAGTAAAATATTTTTTAAATTTTGTATTATTGCTGTTTGGGCAATAATACAAAGGTAATATATTACCTATATTGTTAGTTACTTTTAAGTGTTATAGATCAGTGTAATCGCATATGGTCGGTAGTTTGGAAGGCCAAAATGGCTATAGCCCTATTTCTCCCATACCTCATCTTGATATCGACAATAGCCCCAAAAAAATACCATGAGAATAACCACATAACTCCAACAAGGTAAAGTTTTCTTTAACCAAATTCTAAAAGTTAAGGTCTGAAAATTAGGCTGAGGGTAATGTTAATACACTTAAAAATACATAGTATATTGTTATAAAAACGCGTTTGATACCTAATATGATTATTGCATATAAATAATTATAATATATTATATTTATATGTATATCGATTGTGTTCGCAAAAAAAAAAAACCTATTTTACAACGACTTAAACCGCTAGCGTGTCATTAATGTTATTATTTGTTACTATTTAACTCTATATATATATATATAGGCGGTTGTATGAATGTTAATTAAATGGTATTAGCGTTTAGTTTTGTACGGTAACAATGTTTGTATAGGACGGACCGAACGATTAAATGGCGCCAAAGTATTACATAATAATAATAATAATAATAATAATAATAATAGTAATAATATACATAATACACAATATGAGCACTCCAACGACAATTGCTAACGATTTATTACTATATAACGTACTTAAAACCTAAAAAAAAATAGTTTTTAAAGCCCAAACTGTAAACGGTTACACAAATCTACACGATTAAGTACTTATATAAATGTTGTGTTTTTTTTTTACAATATTAAATATCGAAAAACGAGTAGTTTTGGGAAGACTGTCGCTGGTTGCTCGCCGACAGCGTTCGGCCGTATCGATCCTCCGCCGCCTGTTCCTCCTGTCCCTGTTCCTGTTCCTGTTCGGACTGGTCACACGACAGGAGTGATATTTCCACGGAATCGACGGAGGATAGCGATAATCATAGCGAACGCGAGTCGAACACTTGCAATGAATTAGTGATCGCCTCGTCCTGTGGTAAACAAAATGGTGGGTTTTATTGGGAAAATACATATTATTATTTATGTTAATAATATCAAAACGCAGAACGACAACGCCCTCTATCTAAAGTTTAACTTAAATCGCATGCCCCAAGATCAAAATGTTTTTATTTAATAACAAATTAATCTTCTGTAGATGATTCTAAAATGGAGTTCTATAAAATATAATCAAACATTCGCCTTAACACTTATGAAAATATATATATATTTTTTAAATATAACATGCCTAACTGGATGTCGACGTGTTTAAAACGGCTTCTACGTATGTTTTTCAAATATTGCCTTTCTTTTGTCCTTAAACAAATACCGGTTCCTGTTTCTTTAAAAGCAAAAGTTTTCAAGAATTGAATTCAGTTTTATATCAGGAATTTTTGAAATATCACGTCTTTGAATGTCATGTATCAAACAGCATATTGAGTATAATTTTATTTGAATTGTAATATTATTTCACAAAAAAACAGGGACTTCAATACTAAGTTACCTAACCTAACCTGAGTTATTGAAGTTTCAAATTAAGGGCAGGAGGAAAGGTGGAGTGTAGTATAATTTTTCTCTGCGCGCATTTCCCAACCGCACTTCCCCTCTCATTCTAACTTTAAAACTCTTATAACTTTAAAAATAGTTATCCGAAACTGGTATCGACCTGTCAAAATTTTTAGTACATTATTCTCAATTTAAAAAGTTAATAAAATATATACGTTACCATTTAAGTTTCAAAAGTTACTATCAAAAAAACTAAGTTGGGAGGGGGGTAAAAAAAATAAATTGTGGAAAATTGAGATCATTGTATAAAAACAATATGAAAAAAAAAATTAATTTCTTATTAAACCCTATGAGATATTGAGTGGTTCATGATAAAAAAATCACCCTGTATACAAAATACAAATAATACCAAAAAATTGAGTTTATAGCTGGTTTTGAATTTATCAAAACTCAAATTATTTAATAAATAATACATTAGAAATATTTTAGAAAAAATCATTGCACAGTATATTTTTTTTTTAAGTATATTTTCTGTAAACAAATGTTCTGTCTTTAAGTGAAATGTATTATTAAAATATATCATTGCTGTTTACTATAATGGATAAAACTTAACTTTACCAGTTCACTATGTATTTACTTAAAAAATAAAAGTCACTAATACCACAGTGAAGCATTATTTTGTGAATAACGTCAAAGTAGATACTACCGTCAATTCAGAGTAAAAACTTTAGAATTTTAATCTCTGTGTACTTTGAAAGATTTCCTCAGAGACTTCAAACTCTAGAGCTTTTGAAAAGAATTACAGATTTTACAAAAGTATTTAACTTTAACCTTTAAACAAGATTCGATAAATTCTTCGAACGTGATCACGCCATCTTGATTGATATCGAGTTTTTGGAATACAATGTCGGTTTGATCTTTTGTTTTGCTATTGTTGCGACCCTGCGTTAAAAAGAAATAATAAATTGTGCATTAGTTTGGTTTTTAGTTAAAGCATTTGAAATACCTATTGGTTTCTACGCTGCTAAATACTAATGAAAACTGTAAAACAAACCAATACCTTTACAGCGTCCAAAGCAAAAAAAAACATACTTAAGTTTATTGTTTTTAAAAATGTGATTAAAACATGGAATGTAATTTTAGAATACTTTAACGATTTATTAATTTGATTAAGAAAACACTTAAAGGAAACAAAGTCGTTTTAATGAAATATTTTATTTTCATAAAAAAAGTTTAATTACATTTAGACTACAGTCGCTCTGCAATTATTCTCACTAAAACCCAAATCTGAAATAAGCAATTTAAAACCAAGGGATACGACTTATAATTATTATTTTAATTTAATACATTTCAATATTAATATTTTAGCTGAAATCGAAAACGAATAATTTTTAACAAAGCTTTGTGAAAAGTACATAAGATAATAATACTTTGAAGTAAATTTAAATCAATTTCAAACATTATGTTAATCCGAACAGCAGACTTTGAATACGAATAATTATTTCATACAATTTTTAAAATAATTCATCTTTACAATATAAATTGTGCAACTTTAAAAATAAAAAGTATCATTCTAACCGAAAAGTAAAACTTAGTATATGTACAATTCCCCACAAGACCTGTGCTCATTTATATTCCTCTTGAGTAAATAAATAATAATAAAATACTGTGCATTCTTCAAGTACTTTAATTTATGATCGACATTAAAAAAAAAGCCGAAAAGTATTTTTTACATAAACACCCAACCACAAAAGTTTTAAGATCATTTGCGGAAATTATCCATTAAAATGCTCAAAATTTAAAAAAAAGGTCAACGTTTTTTTTGCTATTGTAATTGAATTAACTTTTATAGACATTTTTTAATTTTTTTTGTTTATTATACCTACTATAAAACATTGTGTTGCCTACATAAAAAAAATACTTTTTAAATAACGTAAAACCTATTGTTAAAATGTTTTAAACTGTTTATAGTCAGAATATATTTTCACGATATTTTTTTAGTATACATTTTTTTTTCTGCTGTCTGGTTGTAATTAATTAAACCATTTAACACACTTAGTCTTTTCAAAGACAAATGGATAGAGATTTTGGTGCAATTTTTTTGAAGCCCCAATAAGATATAACCCAATTTATGTATTACTAAGTTATAATTTAAATCTACAAGTTTTGTTTTGTTTAACTCAAGGTCGTAATCTTTTCGGGGTCAATGACGTGGCTCTTACGAAATACGAAATCACTTTTTTAACATAGTTTGCATCAGTCGCAATGTGTCAACGCTATGACTCAGGTAAGAAATGTACTCTATTCACACTTTATTCAAGTACGACCGAAAATCAGGTGACTAACGGAGGGTTAATGGGGAAATGATTGAGAGTCCTATACGAAGAATGATAGTATAATGAATGTCAAATATTGTGACACATACTTGCGGTCTCTTGCCCATGAGTTCGTGTATGGCTAACACTATTTGACCGAGCTCAGATCTGGTTATGCATCCATCGCCGTTCAAGTCGTACAGTTTGAAAGTCCACCGGAGTTTCTCGTAAATGGATCCACGGAGCAATATGGACAGTGTCATCAGCATGTCCTGAAGAAACAATCTGGTTAAATGTCTACAGTCATACTATTGTAAACGATTTGGGACACATATTCAGACCAGTAGCATAGTAAAATGTGCACAATAATAGATACAACAAGGCAAAATACTGCCGAGAATGCCTAAGGATTGAATCATAATGCAACTGACTTCTACTTCATTTAACTCTTCACTCCTCTTACTTTATTTATAACAACACCTCTAATTTCTATGTTGGCTCTTTCAATTCGTCCGAATTTACTTAATTTTCTCTCTGTACACTTATTAGGGAATAAGTAATTCTGTTTAAACATTTCTTTTTAGAAAATTCACTAAGAGGAAGAAGGATTTACAAAATTTGAATTACACTGCGTCCCGCCTGTCCCCACTCAGCACTCGCTGTATATACCTAAGTTGTATAATCCCTCTCTTTTACTTATCGTTTCAATTAGGCAATTGGATTATCAAAGTATAGTTTCAGTATCCGCAAGGTCTTACACCGCGAAATTTAATAACTCATCATCTTTCCACTAAGGCAATCGATAATTTCAAAGCTTTCAAACGTCGACGACGACGCCACGCCAAAAGGAGCAGGGACGGTTTCCCATAATGGTTTAAACTTACAACAGCAATGTAGTTTATGCAATATACATATTTTAAAGGAAATATTAATGGCGCCTCCAAACACATTCGGAACACGCAGCAAAAGCCTAAAGAAAAAAATGATCTAAGGGCGTCCGACAGTTGTGTATCTGATCTCATAATCACATTCGAAAATACTTGGATGTCAAAGCCCTACAAAATAATATAAATGGTAAAAAGTTTTTAACGGGTTTAATAGTAACTGTCTCCATAAAAAAAAATGTATAATTTATCGTTTGCTCGATGTAAACAATAAAAAATAAACTTTACTTTGAAATACTATTAACAAACCAGTAACCAGTGGTACAATAAAAAAAGAAAACCATTGTTACCAAATTAACAATAATAAATAATACACTATGCATAATTAGCACAATAACTAATTGACTGTCTGACTTTGACCAACTACGACACAGCCCGTTGGGTCCGACGTTATCTAAATATATTAGACACACCTTCCACGCAAGTTCTTGTATGACTGTTTCCGTGGGCATTTTAAGATACCGGGTTCATATTTTTTTGCTAACGACTGTATTTTGGAAAACATTTTATTTTAAATTATTTCATTAGAGTCTAATGCTTTGATGGACAATGGATATAGTTGCGTGTACTTACATACATCTATTTAACTCATCTATACCCTAAACGTATAAAATGGCTTCCGTTAAATACATTATTATACACTTTAAAGAGTTCCTATTTTACTATTTCAGTTGCACGCAATGTTTCTGCATGCAAAAATCACGCGTGTGTAACATTAAATATAAACTATTATAATTTAAAGTAATATCGTATACAGTTTCATGCGCTGGTAACTTTAACCTGTAAGCGTTATAGTAACCAACTGTCAACATATCCATTGTGTCCACCTAAATTACAAAAAAAAAAATGTATTGGCTAAATTTCTAACTAAAAACGATCCGAAAAATTAAAAGTTGAGAACTACAATATCTGAAATAATAATTATTTAATTTTAATTATTTTTAGTGTCATGGTACATTTGGGAATGTATATACCTAATGATATACAATATGTTCAACAATTGTAATTGAACGAAAACAATGATTGCAATATAAGCAGATATAAATAAATACTTTCTCAACATTTAAAGTTGTGAAAAGAAGCGACATTAAGTAGTATACACATGTATAAAAAAATAACATAATATTCATACCCTTAAACTCTAATAACACAATAACATTTATTAAAACCTAGTTTCGGCCATTGATTATTATTATTTGCATTAAATCATACTGTTTTTGATAAGTAAATAAAATAATGCATTAGGTTGTCATATAACTTTTAAAATTTACTGTTTAAAAACTTTTTTTCAATTAAGAATTAATACAAATATGATTGAAAGGTTTTCAAACTAAAAGCCTATACGATTATTTCACAGAAGCAACACAAGTTTATACAATCTAAAAAGTCGTGTATACCCATAATAATATTATGTACATAGCGTGTGGAATATGCTTAATTAAATTATAGAACTCACCTTAAAACTAATAGCGCCGTTGCATTTGACATCGAATGCTTTAAACACAAACTGAGCATATAAATTCGAATCTAAAAATAAAAATACATTTTTAAAACAATTGTATGTTAACTGTTGCTAAAAGTACTTGTACGTTGTTATGCAGAACTTTGATGTGATTTCTTTTTTTGTTTATAGGACATTATACCGGATTTATATTAAAGAGTTTTAAAAAGGCCTTTTTTCTATTTGTTTAAAAAAAAACGTACATTTAACTGGAAATTGTATCAAATTTTAAGTATACTACAAACAATGTTATTGACTGAACATTTTGAAAAAAATTGCTTATTTCATATGTTTTTATATTGGTACTACAATACTGCTGAAAGGTCAAAAGAATGAGTGCAGTGGAGTTGAGAATACTTGTTTATGTGGTTAAGTGGGGTGACAATATAGGGTAAGAACGATTGCACAAGACATCTCATAAGCGTAGCTTCGACAGTGGACAAAAGGAGAGAAAACATACTGAGCGATGATTTGGCCATGTTATGAGAAGAGAAGAATCGGAATGACATTAAATAAACGTAGAAAGAAAGAGGATAAGAGGAATACAGAAAAAAGGTGGTTAAATGCGTTTGAGAATGATATGAGGACAGCTGGCGTATGCGGAGATGAAAAGGGAGATCGTGTCGAGTTAAGGTTTGGGTCAAAGGTTGGACGACCCCAAATAGTTGGGGTAGAGGCGAAGGAGAAGAAAAGAAAAAAATAAATTTATAATAATATCGAAAACTGTTTTTGAAATATTTTTAAAATAATTTAATATTTTGCTAACTGGACTTAGTATATAAAAATACATAGTAGTATTGCATAGTAAAGTTACTTCGAAATTAACTGTATTAAAACTTAAAGTTTAAAACACACTCCAATGCAGTATAATGGTTACTTATGTTTACAAACACTGTAATTATTTTATGGTTAAATTAAACGTAGTTACGTTCTCCGTTTTTCTAACATAATGTAATATATATCAAAGTACCTGTCGACAACTATAAGATGGTGTACAACAAAAATAAAAAATAAACTACACTTTATACTTTGATTGTTCACTATACTTACTTCCGTGAGGAAAAAACTTGGAGTAGATATCTTTGAATAGGTCTTCGTGTACAACTCCTTCCGGACATTTCTGCAACAATAATAAACTTATATTAAATACAATAAATTGTTCACAGGTTAAAACAAAATAACGTTTCGATTTTTACATTAATACGATTATGTAACATGATCAGTATGGTGGTAATATTCATGTTAAACTTACAGAAATAATAATGAACAATGCCTATAAGTATAACAACATGTAACAAACTGACGCAATAACAACATGGGAAATCCTATAAATTAACAGAGCATATGTGAAGTTTATAAGATTTTTTTATAATAAAAAAACAGAACAAATGAATATTCTTCCAGTTTTCATTAGTTTTATACCATATTTGTTTTTTTTTTGTATATTTGTTCAATAACCTATTGTACTACATTAGATGTAGAACTAAATACAAGACAGAACGAACTTGCACCTAACTATTCAACATTGGCAATGTACTTAAAAACAAATTTTGTTTTAAAATTAATTGAAACATTTAGTTTTTAACTAACTGTTTGTTGTGTATTGTACACATTATTTCTTATTTCGTTATAAACAGCTGTTCTACACTTCTATCCCAAAATTAATACATAATAAGTGACAACAGTTGTGATGACAGTTAAGTGGTCATAGCTTAATACGACAGTTACTTTGAAAAACTTGTGCATTTAAAATCAAATTATATTTACAAATAAAAGAAAAAGTTTAATAATGTTTTTATTCTTTTGTATACATCATCGTCCATCGCGTTAATAATAATTAATACTTAAATAGTTATTTGTAAATTATCTACGCTTTTTTTTTAATGAATTGCGATGACAGAAAGGAAAATATTAAGCTGGAGTTTTAAAAATGTTAGCAAACTGTTGAAACTCCTTCGGTTTTATTTGAATTAAGAAGGGCACGCATTTTATTTGCAATGTTAAAAACGCTGAATAATATTATACAATAAATGCATTAATAGGATATTATTTTAATATAAATCCTTAACGTCACGACGTTCTTCAAAACTTAGCTAAGACTCTATTAATATTATCAACAGCAATCGTAATAGAGACTGAGGCGCGAAACGATGGATCTTTCGAATACAAATTACATGTCGTCTTACCACTACTTATCAAGTTGTGTTCTTCTGATGACAGCTGCTGCTTTAGTATAGCGCTGCTAATGAGATTCCCTGGTTGCTTTTCGAAATGTCCACATCCAGACGTTTAAAGAGCCTACGCCCCACGCTACAAGTATCATCAAAACTTCATTTCAGTACTCTCGAATCAAAAAATATAACATGGATTTAAAATAATAAACGTTCTGATAATTTTGTAGCCGAGAAAAGAAAAAAATATATGCAATATGAGTGTATTCCAACGACAACTACTGACTACCGACAACGACAATTACTTTACTTCATAAAAGTAATTGGAATTTTTAGATTATTATTTTGACCCTTAAGATTCATACGATTATTCAAGTCCTAGGTCCGACGGGAATCAGATGGGGTGTGGATAGGCTTACTCCTCTGTAATATTCAAATAACCCGAAAAAAGGTCATATCAGCAAAGATCTAAATTATAACATATTTTATGTTTTAAATTTGGCTAATTGATAACACTATACGCGTGTCACCAGCTGTACAGTTTGATTATGTTTAACGTACAAAACATACTTTGAATTAAAATTTTTTTTAGAGCCATTATATTACATTATTACAACGCATTTAATCTCGGCACATTATTAGACATATTGCAGACTGTATCGCAATATTTTATCACACTTTACACCATCGCACACGCATATAGTCAGTAAATCAGAAGAAACATTACCGCCATCCCATGTATGTTTCTCAAGAAAAAAAAAATTATAGAGACACATAAAACATGTTTTCATGACGTCGAGTGATTTAAGACTTTATATTGTAAAGGGTAAACACGAGATTTCCCAAAGTAAAAGCCTGTCGCTAGATTTTCAAACTATTATTAAAATGTATTTCAATTTATGAACTATCGTTAATATTATTTTATTTCGTTATAACAATTAGTAATATTTAATAATTATTATCAGCTAATGAACAGTATTAGTATTATTCTTCAAAGGTAACTAAACATTGGTGTTGCATTTACAAAAAGGTGCTTGTATCTGTGACTATCAAACACTTAATAATTGGCCTTGCATAACATTAAGTTTAGATAGGTAACTATTTTAAAGTTGGCTAAATTCATGGGATATTTTTCTCCCGAACCTAGTTGTGTAAGCTTTGCGCAGTTTATTCGACGGAATGTGATACAAATTTTGGCTTTCTAGCTCAGAAACGATAGATATCATGACTATTTTTTCTGTTATCAGTCGTACTTACCTCGTACCTTTTTACCCGGTCAAGAGATTTTCAAAACATTTTTGTCGCAAAAATTTTTAATTTGCAATGGTTGCATTCAAATTCTTCGGTTTTGAGAAAGTTATATTGTGCCAATTATTTTAGCAGCGGGGGGTGGGTTTCTTTGCTATGCACGTATCGTTTGCAAAATCGGTAAAGCAGCGGTTTTGTCGGTTTGTTTTTCATAATGTTTAAGAGAAATTTAATACGTAAACACAATCTTCACGCGACAGTATCCAGTACAGAGTGGATGCTGTACGCACTTTAAAACGTTTTTCATTCTTGCCTCTACCACGCCGGCCGGGGGTTTTCTGTTTTTCATTTCCCACAGGTGCCGCCGCCGTCGTCGTCGCCGCCGCCGCCAAACGAGCAGCGTGCAAAGCGTCTGAATAGCTGCTGTTGTGATGCGCGTACAACACGGGCTGCACATATATCTATACACACACACTAACAGAAACGTGCGCACTAGACGAGAGGGAAAGTACACGTTGGGACTTTGGTGTCGGGTTCAATTGGCCAGCCGGCGCTGCCCGGACCACCGCCGCCGTCTGATTACCGGACGGGGTGAGAGCAAAGTGAGAGACACCGTCGTAATATTTATATATATATATATATAAAATCAGTATAACGTTACCTACCTATATTATATTTTGTACGCGGAGTACGCCGCGAGGATATGATGTCATAACTACCCGCCGACTACGGTCCTCCCCTTCAACGCGGCGGCTCCCCCGCCGTTAAAAAAAAACTACCCGAAACCGTGACGTCACCGGAACTCATCGATTGTTACGCGCGCGCTAGAGGACCGGCAGCGACGAAGCCGGCTGAGAGCATACTACCGACTCCACCCCATGGTTGCCTCCACCACAGCGGCTAGGGGTGAATGAATTGCGGTGCCGAAACTTTACCGGTGACCACGGGTAGGGTATATAATACAATGATAATACGTTTATTTTTATCACAGGTAACCACACAATTTGTTGCTTCACAAATAAGTGTAATAAGACGATTTTAAAAAAAAAAAAAAAAAACATATATTGTTTAAAAACAAAATTTAAATAAATTAAAAAATTTGGAAGACTTTTGGTAAGAATTTTTATGATTCCCTGTAAAGCACGTCTTTAAACATCTAATTTCCATACTTATTACAGAAAAAAACACTATTTTAAAACTAAAAATAATGGGGGAGGGAAGCTATTAAAGTGGGATCGGGACATCGTGGCGATAGATCGTGTTGTCGAAGAGGTTGCAGGGCTTTAGGAATATTATAACTGGAAATCAGTTTCAAATAAATAGAAATATAGATGATCGGATAATTAAAAACAAAAAATATCCTCAATAGAAAATTACTACTGCAGATTTCTTAAATTTGTTTTTAAATAGTACCCGCATTACTAACTTTTTAGGTTGTGAGTCTGTTGAACAATTTTACTGATCGATTGAAAAAATTATATTATTAAAAAGCAATTTAAAAAATAACAGAAATATTTTTTTTTAAAAATGCTTACGTTAAATTGATCACAAAATATGTTATAACTATAGGTTTTCAAGTGTTTGATAATGTACTAGTAACTAGTTAGTCTAATCTCTTACTCATATGTACATATATAATTAATAAGACATTACTCACGTTTAGACGTACTGGAAAAAAGTAATATTCATAACTAAATTGAACTTATGACAATTAAAGTCATAATGTCGAGTTGTATTGCTACAAAGACAAGTGTAACTCAATGATATACCCTACAGGCGATAGTAGCATTATTCATTCATTTTCTAGAGGCTGGGGCAAAAGATCAATATTCAGTTTACTTCCAAGTAGGGAAAATGCTTAGTTTAATTTATATTCTACACACAAATCTTGGTAAGCAGTTTTATTTTCTCGTAATGAAAACTTATTTTTGTAACCACAAAGGTACAAAAAATTATTATTTAATGAAATATTACATTACAATTTTCTAACAAAATAATGAATTTCATTAGCGGATAAAATAGATTATTTATGTTTAGATGAAAAAAATTGAATTAAATTAACAAAACAGTTGTTTTATATGCTGTACGTTAACAACTCCTATCATTAATATTTTATTTATTTAATTTGCTCAACTAATAATATTAGTAAAAGTATTAGTGTGTAAAGGCAATTTTGTATAATAAATGACCAAGCAGCTATTTTAACCTAATCAATCAAGTTAATTCGGTTGTGAATTTTTCATTGTTTTGAATAAGTTAAAGTAGTCACACACGCATCATTTGTGGTCATGACAGCTCCTATTGTATGTACTTCAAGTACAGCCTACACACAATTTTTAAAAAAGGTCATAACTGTATTCAATGTAAAAGAAACGTATTGTATAAGTATATTTTTGTTTACGCTTACCGTTGTTACACTTTGGGCGAGTTATAGCAAAAAAAACTCAGGTAGGTATATCATATTTTTAAGTTAGCTTTTAAGTGAGGCCAAAAGGATTCTATTATGTCAAATAGCCATACTTCAGGATTTTGTTTGTACATAAAGTTTTGTCTGAAATTCTGCCCTTCCTCTAACGTGTTTGAGCACTAATATTTTACACCAGAGTCTAAACTTGGTTAGCGTGCCCGAGTTTCTTGTACTATGCATGTTGAATTTAACGTTCAAGGGTTAGTACAAAATGTTCATCGTAATAAACGCATA